TCTTTATTGATTTTTAAGATGGACCCAAAGTAAACTAACTTTTATTCATTTGGTTTGGTTTGGTTTAAATGCAGAACGGTATGACACCATTGCATCTTGCGGTTTGGTATTCGATTACCTCGAAAGACATCTCAACTGTTAAGACATTGCTCGACAATAACGCGGATTGTAGTGCAAAAGATAATGTACACAATTCTCTTAAAATTTGTTTTTAATTAGTACAAGAATGATCATGTACTAAGCTGTGGGGATTTTGCATTTTTCCAGGAAGGGATGACTCCTTTGGACCACCTGCCACATGGACAGGGCAGCGAGAAGTTGCGTGAATTGTTGCGTTGGTTTCTCCAAGAGCAGAGGAAAAGAAGCGCCCTAGAGGCGTGTGGTAAGACCAAAGCCAAGATGGATCTACTTGAGGAAGAGTTGTCCAATATTGTCGGATTAAACGAGCTGAAGACGCAACTGAGGAAATGGGCTAAAGGAATGCTTTTGGATGAGAGGCGTAGGGCTCTTGGGATGAACATTGGAACTCGAAGGCCTCCTCATATGGCGTTTCTTGGAAACCCTGGGACAGGTGAGACAGAAAGAGTTGTATATTTATGGTAAACAAACCGATGCATGACTGTTTTAGCTTGACACTGTTTTGTTTCTGACAGGTAAAACCATGGTTGCTCGAGTTCTCGGGAAGTTGCTTCACACGGTTGGAATCTTACCAACCGATAAGGTAACAGAAGTTCAGCGTACAGATTTGGTTGGTGAGTTTGTTGGTCATACAGGGCCAAAGACCAGGAGAAAGGTAACAATACACTGTTCAAACTAGTCACTTGTGAGTTTTAGATTTCGAGAATCTCAAAAGATCTTTCAAATCTCTGGACAGATCCAAGAAGCTGAGGGAGGAATCCTCTTTGTGGATGAAGCATACAGGTTGATCCCAATGCAAAAGGCAGACGACAAGGACTACGGTCTAGAAGCCCTGGAAGAAATAATGTCGGTCATGGACACGGGGAAAATCGTGGTGATATTCGCGGGATACAGCGAGCCAATGAAGCGTGTGATTGCATCTAACGAAGGGTTTTGCAGAAGGGTCACAAAGTTTTTCAATTTCAGCGACTTCAGTGCAAAGGAACTGGCGCAGATACTTCACATCAAGATGAACAGCCAGGGAGAGGACACTCTGTTCTATGGTTTCAAGTTGCATGAGTCGTGCACTCTGCAGGAGATAGCTTCAGTGATTGAGAGGGAAACAACGGAGAAGAAGAGGAAGGAGATGAACGGAGGGTTGGTTGACACGTTGCTGGTTAACGCAAGGGAGAATCTCGATCTCCGACTTAGCTTTGAGTGTGTTGACACTGAAGAGATTTGTACCATCAGGTTGGAAGATTTAGAGGCTGGTCTTCGTGTTTTCTCTCAGTGAGAAGATTACAGATTCAACAACCTGTAATGGGCCGAGTATTGGTTAGTATTACAATATTGTACTGATTCAATTCTTTACATATCATATTCTTTATGTTTTGCAACTCTTTAGATTTTACAGGAGGGAGAAGTTACTCTGGGTTTTTTTTACCTTTCATTGTGTATTTGTGTTGTGTTATTACATTATTGTTATTTTCTCATTTTTATTTTACTTTTCTTTTGGGTAATTAATGATTTTAAATTCTATGAAATTATCAGAAACATTTTACTCCAGTCTTTTACGAGATTTATCATGAGTTTTGACTAGTGAATTTAAGTTAACCTTGTTTTATAGTAGTTACAAGCTCAAACTTTCTTATGGTAGTAGTTAGTAACTACCAATATAGAAGTGCAGATACAATATATTTTTACTTCAAATTACATTAATGGCTTCGAATGGATAACATAGATCAAGAAATGCAGATCAAACATAATAAATGTAAATCAAGCAAAACAAATGCAGATCAATCTAATTTAATAAATTGTTATATTTAATTAATTATTTGGATTTCATAAAACTTAAAAATTTAAATAAAATAAAACTTATTATATATAAGCAATAAATATCATATTGACAAAAATAACAAAAATATTCTCATTTTAATAAATATAGTGAAATTTAAAATTATATGAAAGATCATCAAAATTAAAAAACTTATAAAAAAATCATTGTTTAAATGTATTAGGTGATTATAATAGTAACTATTTAAATGTTTCTCTAGTTAATATATAAATTATTAATAGTATGCATATATTCATCAAATGAATTCATATAAAATATAATATTTAAAATTAATAAAATATAAGATACAAGTACATGTGTGTGTTATTTTATAGCATCTTAAATGTTTAATAATTTATTTTATAAACTAATTAAAAATACACCCTTGACTTTTTGATTTTTTTTTTAAATTGATGTAAAGATAACGTGAAAATAAATGAATTAAAAACAAAATAAATTTCTCATTTATAATTTTTATATTAAAGTTCGTGAAATATTATATAATTTAAAAAATGATAAACTTTATTTTGCGAATAATTAGTTTATTAAATGAATGAAGTGCAATAATGAAAAGTATTTATTGTATTTGAAGAATAAAAGAAGAAAAAAACTGTCAAAGACATTAATTAACTATATGTGTCTCGTCAGCACCATTTCCTCTAACATTTGCAGGACACAATTTTAAAGAGAAAACTAATCTGCATGCAGGTTGTTTTGATTAAATCTTGTTCTGCATTTATAAAATGAATAGGTGATAAATGTAGTTTTATCCGTAAATTAAATCACCTGCATTATATCTGCATTTGTTCTAGAACATATTCAGAGTCATTGTTTTTTTCTACCGCGAAATTTTTATCAACTATCATCTGTATCTCCTATATATTAATTTTGGACCATTAGTTAAATGATTATCTTGAGAACCATACTCACGTGTCAAGCCCTTTTTCTTTATTCCACTAATATTACTAAGACTTTTAAAGACATCACATTATATGGATGACTGAAAACTTTATTATATATCATCAAATTTGAATATGGTGACACATTCTGCTGGAATTACACCAAAAATGGTCAATATACTGTCAAATCTGGAAATTGGGTGGCTCGAAACCTAATGAAACCTGCTGATGAGGTTGAGTTATTGGAGCCAAGTATAACCAAACTTAAAGCTCAAGTTTGGAAGGTCAAAGCGCCACAGAAATATGTCATCTTATGTGGCAATTGACTACAGGACAAGTAGCAGTAACGTCGAACCTGATCCGTCGGAATATGAGATGTGTCAATAACTGTCCAAGATGTGGGGAACCTGAGGAAACTGTGGCGCATGCCATATTCGAGTGCCCGCCAGTGATGCAAAGCATGATCCCTATCAACAACACTCTCAAACCCCAACATATTCCCACGTCCAAGCATATATGAGAATATGGATTACCTTTTCTGGAGGAAGAATGATATAGTAGAACCAGAATTAGATAGGGATCCTTATCCCTGGATTATCTGGTATAAGTGGAAGGCACGGAATGATAAATTATTTAGAGGGATTGATAGGGACCCGTTGGAGTTAGTTTGATATGCAGAGAGTGAATGTCAAGCTTGGTTTAATGCAAATGAGATGATTGAGATGAATAGACAAGAGAAACACAATGAGAATGGTCAGATCTTAAGTCTGGTGAATATTTGTATGGTGGATGGTTCATGGACTTAAAATGATCAGTTTAGCGGATGCGGTTGGGCTTGGAAGGATAGTATTGGGAAGATCCAGCTCATGGGAACACGCAACATAATGAGACGGGAAATTGCCCTTCATTCGGAGGTAGAAGCACTGCGATGGACAATGGAGAGTATGCTTCAACATTCGACATGCCAGCGCTTTGGGACTGATTGTAAAGATCTAATAGCTATGATAAGGGATCTGCAAGCATGGCCAAGTTTTACAACAGAGATGGAAACTCTCCAGACGCTACAAATTTGCTTTCCAGACTTTGAGATATTTCATATCCCACGAGTTCACAATAGAGTCTCAGATTCTTTAACTAAGATTGCCAGTTCTTTTTATAGAGAGCTTTGTTACATTGGTTTTTCTATTCTGGTTTAGTTACCCAGACTACCTCAAACTTGAGTAATAGAATTGCTGTTTGATGTCAAAAAAAAAAAAGTAATTCCTTTGATCTTTGGGCAGTTAATATATTAAAAATGCTAAATATATTAACTAAGAACTATGCGTAAAACATGAACTGAGAAAAATCTTGAAGATTATGCACTTTTAGGGAATTTATTTCAAGATTATACACTTTTGTAAACATCAAATGACTGCTATCTAACAATTTTGTTTGGTTTGATATGCCAACAATGATATCTAACTTAACAATTTGGTTGGCTTAATATATCTATCATGTTCAATCGTTTAACATTAAGACACATCAAGGTTAAACTTTGCATGAATTGCCAAAATAAACAAAAGTAGACGCCTAGATTTGAACCCGGGTTAACTAGGTCAAATTGCAAGGTATTTTACCAATAGGATAATGGTACTTTCAATGGATTTATTAACACATTTAATTTTATTTGTTATTGATTGAATATAAAAAAATTCTCTAAAAAACATAAAAAGATCTTTAAAATTCCAAAAAATTAAAAATAAAGATTTTTTTTATAAAATTAATTTTAATTTTTTTTTTTCTTTTTTTTCTTTAAAAAAATCAAAAGTCTTCCAAAATTTACATTTACAAAAAAAAATTGCTACAAATTGAAATTAATTATACACACAAAAAGATACCCACATATTAAAATTAAATTAAATGATTAAAATAAATATTTTCTCCATTATGAGTGCGATTTTAATTTTTAGCTGATAATTGTAACTTATTTTTTTTTGTATTTTCTTTGAATTTTTCAATTGTTGGAAATTTTTTTAAAAATGAAAATTTTGGAAGATTTTTGACTTTGTAAAGAAAAACCAAAATTTTATTTTTTAATTTTAGTTTCAAAATTAGTTTTATACAGCAATTCTTTATTTTCAATTTTTTGGAATTTTTTAAAAAAGTAAAATTTTGGAAGATTTTTGACTTTTTAAAGAAAAAACAAAATTTTACTTTTAATCTTAGTTTCAAAATTAATTTTATAAAGAAATTATTTATTTTTATTTTTTTTTGGAATTTTAAAGATCTTTTTATGTTTTTAGAGATTTTTTTATATTCAATTAAAACCAAATAAAATTACATGTGTTAGTAAATAAATAGAAAGTGCCATTAGCCTAGTGGTAAATACCTTGCTATTTGACCCAAACAACCCTGTTTCGAATCTGAGCGTCTACTTGTTTTTTATTTTCAAATCATATAAAACGACGTCGTTTCATTTCATTTGAAAATCACGTCGTTTCACTTAACGCCAATATTTAACACCGTCTTAACTGCGGATTTTTTATTTTCAAATCATATAAAACAACGTCGTTTCATCTCATTTGAAAACCACGTCGTTTCACTTAACGCCAATATTTAACACCGTCTTAACTGCGGATTCACGGTGTGCTAATATGGTCAGTCAATCTTAAGTTACTTAATAAATAGAAAGTGCCATTAGCCTAGTGGTAAAATACCTTGCTATTTGACCCAAACAACCCTGGTTCGAATCTGGGCGTCTACTTGTTTTTTATTTTCAAATCATATAAAACGACGTCGTTTCATCTCATTTGAAAACAACGTCGTTTCATTTAACGCCAATATTTAACACTGTCTTAACTGCGGATTCACGGTGTGCTAATATGGTCAGTCAATCTCAAGTTACTTAAATAAACTAAAAAAGTCAACAAAAATACATGTTTGTTACGCCAGGCTCGAGTACATATTTATTTTGACAATTCGTGCAAAGTTCCTGATTTTTTTGGTCGAATTCTCTTTTTATTTACGATGCACATTCACGAAAGGGTGAACATGTAACTATTGTCTATCCTCAGTAATTAACGATTTAACCAAGAACATCTTTTGGTTATACTACTCGATTTACTATTGAACAAGTTATGTAACTTATTTTAAACGTTCCATAACTAAGTATTATACTCCTTCCGTTTCAGTTTAAATGTCATTTTGGATTTATGCACACATATTAAGATAACAATTAATTTGTATTCTATGCAAAAACACTATTACTTATGCACCTAACCATATTTCAACCAATAGAATAATAGATTGTAGAATAATGATAATCAATTTCGTATTGAAAGTTGAAAAATACTTTGTAACAAAAAAAATACTTTGTAACAAAAAAACAAAATTCTACAATGACACTTAATATGAAACTAGGATAAGACCCGCGCCTTGCGCGGGATGAAGTTATTATTTTTATTATGTTTTGAAAAATGAAACAATAGTTCGGTTTCACTCGGATTAGAGGTGTTCAATCCGGATATCGGGTTTCGGTTCGGCTCGATTTTTTGGTATTTCGATTATTAAAATACAACTACT